TATTGAGATTCCCTGACTTTTCCACGTTTTCCAGACGACAGGGGGGAATTTTCCACGGGCAATACGTAATCTCAAACGTTTCCAAGCGAGGATTGCGGGTAAGGTAGCTCATATTGTTAGAAGAGCGGCGCGAATATAAAAATTTCGCGACATAATATAACCCTGAATGCGAATTAAGGGCAAAAAGCGACAAAAACAATGCGTATTGGAAGAAAGAATACAGTTGAGAGCATTTACGTGAATCACGGGCAAAGTTCAGAATTTCCGCTTTCTTACATCTTTCCCCGACTTTTTCAGGTTTCCCCCGGCATCGTCAATTCCCCGTTTCCTTTTGCCGATTTTTCCGCTTCTCCAGGTGTGCGACAACTCCGGCGCGGGTCGCCGAGGAAGTCAACGCCCGCGTGCTTCCGCCAAGCTCTGAGATCGGGACTCGAAATTTCAATCGTTAGACGCGGAAAACGCGCGAATTGCGGCTTGAAATTTTTTCCTCACGCGGGAGAGCTCGTATTGTAACGTTGGTATTCGAAGAATTAATAAAGACGAGCGAGGCGAGCGCTCGGCAATTTACGCGCCTCGAACGCGTCATGGAAAGCACGTGGGGGGACGGTGAGGAGAGGAGAGGGGTCGAGGCACGAAGGGACGAGAGAGAGAGAGAGAGTCTCTCGCGAATTCTCTCTTCTTTTTCTGACGGGTAGAATTAGCCAACGCGGGAGGAACGACGAGAGCGGCCGCTGACGTAAGATATACGCCGAAAAGGACCGCGCGTTCAATTGGGCAAATATTAAAAGACTGTCATCGCGATTCGGCCTTACGTAAGCTCATCGGAGCCGATCTGGAGCGCGCGTGCGATTTCGTCGCGTAGAGAATTTTCTGAAACTATCCCGGAGCCGCGGAGAGTCCCGTCCGAGGATCCCGCGCTCGGCCAGCGATTAAGGTTATCGCCTTAACGGGAAACAACTAGCAGGAAACACTGCGTATCTCCGTTACACCCGGTAGATAAGCTGATCCGTCGATAAACGCTGTCGAACTGTCGTCGCTCGCTGGGCGATATCGCGCGCGCCGCCGCGCTGTTAATTATTTACCGCCATTCCATTTTTACCGTTGTCCACGGCCCACACGATCGGGCAACGCGGGAAAGAGAGAGAGAGAGAGAGCAGGCGCGAATTTGCGCTAGTTTTGCTCATGCCGATTCTCGCGAAAGCTACCGGCAACCGTGATATCGAGACTGCCGCAGAGCGCGCGTAACGAATAATTGTTATTTTCGAGTTTACGCCCTTTGCAAAAATGATCCGAGCGATTTTCCCCGCTTCGATTTCCCCGATGATTATCCCCGATCCTATCGCTTAATATTCAACGCGATGTCCCGGCATCGATTTCTTCAAACATTTTCGTAAATCTATAACAATGACACATCTGTGCAAGAATGATCTGGTCTCTTAATTTTCCTTTGTTCTGTTCAGAACAGTTTCCGAGCATGATATTTGCGTCGTAGTAATTAGATTTGCGTCTCTTCTTCGTGTTAAGTTAATGAAAGTTCCCACTCTGTCGGCACACGCACTGTGCGAATCGTTATTTCGTCATTTATTTCTCTTCTTTCTTAATACTAAGATCTATACTTTGCGCTTATTATTTGTCTCCAGCTGTAAATAATTTTGCAGCGGCAGTCACGACTTAAGAGTGAAAATATTTTAATTTTAAATATTTTCTTCTTTTATAGCCGCACAGAAAAGAAATCGTCTTAAATCAATGATAGATATTCTCATGTATAAGCAAGAACGTTAATAATATTCTTAGGAGGTTTTAAGTCTCGACATGAGCGCAAATGATGCTTGCTTCGGTGCGAATTCGGGCAAAAATTAAAATTAAAAATCTTCGAAGATAATTATAATATTCCCATTTGCATAAGAAAACATCTATCAGTGATTTAAAATCAATGTCTTCTCGTGCACTCGTCAATACTGTATTAACCGCTATAAATCTAAGAGATTACTTAGATCCCAGGGTTACAGTAATCAACTCTCTCTGCTCTACTAAACAACGATCACTCCTCCGCTAAGCTAATCGAATATTGAGTCAGGTTAACGTCGCGCGGACATTAATTACAATCCCCGATCCCGAATGCCGAGTTTTTATCTCTCAACTTCGTCCGTCCGTTCCGACAGCCTCGCGCCGGCTCGCACTCGCGACAGTGCATCGTCGTAAATTAATTACGTTTTCCGAAAAGCGTACCGACGATAATACGGTGATTTTTTTATCGCTCGCTGAGAAGTGAGTCCTCGGAAGACCGGCCGCGCTTCTGGGATCGCCGTGGGTTCCGGGGACCGCGCTTTCGTACGCAAATCAGGATTCGGAGGGCCGAGCGAGAATTTTCGGCGAGACCCGGATCGATGAGCGGGCCGAAATTCCTGATTTTACGACAACACCGTCGTAACCCCTCGCGCGCGTCACGGCGGAGTTACCGCGATATCACTTGGGGCGTTAGCCGGATAAGCCGCTAACCCCATCCACCTGTTGCCCCTTCTTATACGCTGCCGCTTTCGGCCCTCGCGTTCATCTTCATTCCTCGCGTGGAAACGAGCCGGGGACCCGTCCTCCTCCGGTCCACGTGGGCCTCCCGAGGGCCCCGAGCTCCGCTCATCTCTCTTCCGTCAACGACGTCGGCCTCTCCCTCCTTCTCTCTCTTCGGCACCTTCAGGCATCCCGCTCCTCCGCCTACCTCCTCTCCTACCTCTTCTTCTTCATCATCTTCTTCTTCTCGCTCACTCCCGCTCCAGGCCCGGGTCTTCAGCGGTCTGACGTGTTTTTTGCGAGTGCATACCTCGAAGCAGCTCCCGAAACAGTAGCTGGTACAGTCCGGGCAAGTGAAAAAATCACCGGTCGATTCTTCGCAGTTGATCTTAAATCCGCAGAGATGCATAAAGATAGCTTTTCGAAGATCGAAGGGAGAGAGAGAGAGAGAGAAAGAGAGCGTATAGAGTTTCCCTTCATTTGAAGTTCAATGTGATCGTGCATTTCTTCTAATGTCCCTCATGGGGCGAAGATATTCAAGTAAAACACCAGGTATCGCAGAAGTAAGATCGAGGAGGTGAAATTCAGCCGACTCGTTCTGAAAGCATTAATTAACGCGAGCGTGAAAGAAAAAAAGGAACCCTCGCGCGATGTAAGAGGCGCGCGTCGCAACTGTCAATTATCTCCGAAAATTAATCCAACGCGAGCCGGCCGGTCAATAATTCAAGGTCGCGTCACGGTGGGGCGCGCGAGTACCGGCTTAATGAAATTCTATAATTCTGTAATGAAATAACGGGGTTAAATAGCCGCGAAAATCGCTGATTGCGAGCGCGTACGCGGCAGGAAGTCGCGCGAGGATCAAACGGAGGGTTAAACGTCGCGCTCGGCTCTCTCTCGTCGTCGTTGTTTCTGCTCCGGCTTATATCGCCGCTCGTATATTCCACGGAGGCGTCATCATCATCGACGATCCAGTTTCCAGACGACGAAAACCGCGGTGCATTTCGCACATCTCGCCGGCGGCGGTGGTGTAGGATTGTCGCATTCTGGGCCGAGTTGACCCCAGTTAACACCGTGGACGGCTTAGCCGTTAGTGTTAAGTTCAGTTCACTCATACATAAATCTAAGTCCGCGCGCTTATGCCTTAGCTCGGCCGCCGCTCGGAATTGAGCACGTGCTCAGATTTCATCTTCGGCGACGACGACGCTTAGATCATCTCCGGCTCGTTCGGCCCGAAACGTCGCAGATATTCGACCGCGTTTAGGCGACACGCTCCCACCCGTGAATTGCCGGCGAAGGCTTTTTTAATCGCCCCCGGCGGTCTCGAATCGTCGCCTATAGTCGATTTCGTCAATTAAGTTTTTTAATAGACAGGCCACGTTTCGATCGAAAAATATCGTCACGTCAGAAGCGCTGCACGATGCCGTTGTGTCGCGTACACGCCTCGGCGTCGCGACTTCGGTTACTCGCGCCATTTTCGATTTTACGTATCACACGCGTAAAATCGGGAATCGTGAAAAATCTCAATAAACACACGTTGAGGCAGACGCTTATGTGAGAGCTGCACGACTAACGGTGTACGGGAAAAAATTATTTCGCTGGTGCAGCGAATTGTTAGTTATTATGGGGACAGCGGAATAATTTGTTACGCGGAAAGAATAATTTCGCTGTCGTGGCGAAACGTCGTTGCGGCAGCAATCAAATTCAGCTCGCATAACCAAATTATATCGCTGTCCGTGTATCCAGCAAATAGCAATTAATATTCTTAACAGATCTTTCCCGCTGTCCAATTGCTTCCCCCGTCGCTGTATTAACAATTTGCCGTTCCGGCCCAATTTTCTCCCCCGTGTAGTTTTCAACGATGCGCGAATTTTGACGGGCGGCCCCTTTCGCGAAAATTTGCACGTCGACAATCGGCCGGCGACGCGAAATGAGAAAGAGTTACACAGCGGATGTTAGAAGCGCTGTATGCCGGGAAATTTTGTCTTCAATGATTAAGAGATTAAGGACGGCAAAGGATTTATATTACCCCGCGGCGATTACCGCACTCTCCAGGGATTACTCACAAACGAGCGATGAAATAAGCATCAAAATAATTTACATAACGCGCTCTCGTGCGCGGAAAATATTTTCGCAACTTGCAACTCGCAGGACAATACGGGAAGTCGGGAAGGAATTTAAATGACAACTGTAAAAGCGCGCAAATCACGCTCCGCGGCGCTGAATTAAACTCCCTCGTTAACGTCTTCATTAGATGAAATACGCCTCGTCTCATAATGCTAAAAGCCTGCTGGGGGAAAAAAAATGCAAAAGAGACTAGTAAATTATTGCATCTCGTTTCCATCCGTTTCTTCGCCTCCCGTTTATCGTCCCGATATCGTGATACCGAGTGAAAGTTTCCGTTGCCGCTATTAAATATTCCGTTGTAATTGTTCGGAAAAGCAGAGTGCGTATAAGACGCGCTCATCGGCCAATAAAATATCCCCGGATTACAGAGCCAGGCTTTGGCATTGACACACAAGGCCTCGCCACCATCTAGACCTAGCAGCGTGTCCTCGTTACCGAGAAGCCCTCAGTCTCATCAGTCCCAGCAGTCTCAGCCGCAGAGCACACCTCAGGCGACGCCGGTGCACCCGCTGCAGTCGCAGACACCTCTGAGCGCACCTCAGACGCCGTTCTCCGCGCACAATCAGCACCCAAAGCAAGAAATCAACGCCAGCCCCAAGCAGGAGGGCTTTGATCTCAGCAAAACCGCCTCCAGCACAGGTAAGCCCTCCCATTTTTCTTCCCTTTTGTGCCGTCGCTTTTATCGCTCGCTCGTCGATACGCCGCAAATACGAGGCGAATTGGCACCTCGATACACACGCGATCGAAACGCGACATGACGTGGCGATTGTTAATTTCAGTAAAGAACGTAAAGGCTCTTTAATTAAAACTAATGATGACGAGAGTCGGGACAATAAGAGCCGAGTATAGTTGCTGTTTGTTTAAGTTGTAAGTTAATAATGTGATTAACGGTGTTACGTAAAAAGTGCACGTGGAACGCTCCGACCATTGTTGTGCTCACCTTCGGCCAATTTACGTTGGAAAATATCGCCCGAGTCGGCGCGGCAAAATAAAATTCAGATGGCAGACCGAGCGTGATGTCCGATATCGTACAAGTTTCAAACGTGAGGACAATCCACGCGAGGGAATCCTTTTTCGAGGATTTGGTAGACCGCAGGATTATCCGATCGAGGATTATCACGGAATATCCGTGCAAAACCGTCAATCGTGCGCCTGAATCGCGTCGAGACGGCTCGATCAATGGAAAAATAATGAACCATCGTAACTAAAATTGCCAGACTTAAACTTACCGATGATATTTTAAACGTTTTAAATCCGGTGGAGATCAAAAATGAAAACGATCACTCGGAGCCGAAGTCGAAGTTACTATCTTTAGGCCGAAGAAGGAAGGGATTAAAAATATATTTGTAGAACATAGTCGATTACGAGAAATAGCAGTGATTAATATTCTGTCTCGGCAGAATCCGAGACTCGGCCGTTCGTTGGAAATTCGTATTATTTCACACAACGGTCGTGTCTCAAACAAGCGCGAGATTTCTCGTGCTACAATATGAGAATGTTGCGTAAGTCGTCCGCACAAAGGGTCCGCCGTCGTCAACCTCAACGGACCTTGCACGTCGCACACAATCAAACGCGTTCACCCCCTGCCTTCTTTCTTTTTTTTTCTTCATTTCCTCACCGTCTTGCCCGTTCCTACGAGTGCACACGTATGCACACCCCATTACCTCGGGTAGCGTCCCGGGTTTGACGGCTTGCGCAGGGCTCCCGTGGCCGTAAATCTTCGATTCGCCGGGCGAATTAAGTTACCTTTTACGAGAGAGACAGGGCCGTGTGAAAACAGCTTTGGCGTCTTTACAGCGCGAACTCGGCCGGGATTACCGGTGACGCTGGCAAGGAAAATGCGGTAACGATGCGCCGATGTCACGTCCATTAATGCACTCCGCCGAACGGAAGCGGCGTTAATCGCCGCCGCGTCTCGCAACCGACGAACGAAGGCCGGCCTGGCTTTTGTGTATAACGAATAAAAGGGCAAGTGAGAGGAGAGGAGAGTGGGTATTTAAAATTCGCTGCACACCTTCAGCCTTCTCGATCTCGAACAATATACGTTTGTTTCACCCCGCAACGTAATAATATTATTTGACTTTTCTCTTTTCTTTCTTTAATACAAACATTTAATGGTTTTCCATATAAAAGAAATATGAATTTCACGAAATTGATTATTTCGTAACTTAATTATGCTTGTAGCCGTACGAAATAAAAAGTTACCGCAATCCGAAGCGGTTTGCGCATCGTGTCCGTTTTCAAACCGGTTAAAATCTCTCGTGAAACCGCAACATCAAAATAGCCGGAATCGCATTGCGCTTCTGAATATTTATCGATCCGCTGTAGCAGATCGTTGCTTAAGAATGAATGTAAAATTGCAGGGGGGCAGGCCTGTTCAAAACACTCCTATTTTATTCGAGACAATTCAGAAACCGAATCGTTATGTCGCGCCATGAAGTCTGCTTCCGCCGAGAGAATGACGAAGACATCTATACTCAATGGAGGTTTCTGCGCGAGAGGGGTCGTTAAAGCTCGTAAACGAGATAGACTATCGGCGGTATTTCCTTGATCCTCGATAATGCGGTGGAAACAATTTGCACGCGTCCGTTTCCAGCGAGAATTAAACGCCAACCGTATAAAACGGGGACGAAACATTCAGCTCTTTTTCACGTTCGGCGAGTATTATTTCTTTCCAGCGCGCGGGATCGGCGAAATTAGGGCAGCATCGAAAAAGGGAAGGATTCACCGTCAAATTAAACATCTAATGATAACGTACTCATATTTTTTTGCTTTAAACGTCAGTGCGCCGAAAGAAGCGATTTTGCTCGATGGTTATCAACAATACAATGTGACGAAGCGTTTCATTTTCTCCAAAATACCTTTTTCTAACCACACTTATTGTAATTGTATCGCACATTGGACAGTAAGTATAATACCTCCACCTTCTCACGTATTTCGCTTTCCCCACAAGTTGCTACAAAGCGCGGAGGGAAGCTGGTCGGTCCCATACGTGTATAAAGCCGAAGGGACGACTAAAATTGAATTCGCGGTTACGCGCGCGCCTAATCTGTCATTTACGTTGTCGCAAAATTTGCCATTAAATCCGTGCGTTTCTCTCCCTTCGTCTGGCGCTTGTTTTTCTCGTGATGTTGCGGCATAGAGAGAGAGAGAGATTTAACCCGTAGTCCCTTACAAGGTTTACAAGGGTTACATTATATAACAAGTTTACGAAAACATTATATATATATATATGTATATAAATGGCTGTGAGTAGTACATAATAAAGTAGGAAAGAAAACACATTAGAGGACACGTGGTTTGCAAAATCATCCGAAGATGACATGTGAAACCACTTGAAACCAAACACGTAACGTAGAATGATGTATGATAAATAATCGAGCAACATATTAACCACGAAGTTTCACGAGTTTCACATAACAGTGAAGAAAACAGAAGAATACGGCAAATAAGTGTGAGAGAAGTATAAGCAAAGATTACAGGTGAGTCTGAACAAGTAAATCTGAACAATTGATAGATCACAGAGAATGAATATGCCACGATGATAAGTGAAATGAAAAAGAATGTGAATAACAAATACGAATGATAGGACAATAGGATGACTAAGTGCGAGAAAAAGAGAGAGAGAGAGAGAGGGGGGGGGNATTGCCGAGCCGTACACGCGCGTTTCTCCCACCGGACTGACTTTGGCCGGCTGAGTTTTACGAGAAATCAGGTTAAGAATTCTTTCGTGGACAACTTTTAAGTTCCGTAGTTCGACGATCCGCGCGCAGGAATGCAGGGAGCGAGAGTACATATTTGCTCTCCCAGCGTCGACCTGGGCGAGGGGCGCGAAGGGCGGATGGGAGATGCGGGTGGACAGAAGCACGCACTTCCTAAATCTACGGATTTCGAGGATCCTCCTTAAATCTCCGTGCGTCACAGTTAATCCTCTCCCACCCCGAGCTCGCGGATCCTTTTTCTGCCTTTCCCGGCTCTTATCTCCACCTTCCTCCGTCGTTCAGCATGGTTTTTTAAATCCTCCGAGAATTTCCAAAAGCGCAACATACTTATTCCCAGCTCACGCGTCCAGGTAACACGCGCGATAAGATTCCGGGCGGGGAGATGAGGAAGACGGCGTATGTATGTGTGTACATATATATATATATATAAACGACGATAATAAATTGTCATAATATTTTCATTTCGCAGCACGCGTTGTAACGCGTTGAAATTCGAGAGACAATCCGTGGTACGCGAACGAAGTGCGGATTACAGTACGTAATCTTTAATAACTACAACACCGGATAATTAACGATCGGATTAACACGCAGTATTAATAATTTCGGCCCTTTGTTAATAAAAAAAAAAAAAATACAGAAAGAAGGTGCGAGGAGATAAATGTAAAACGCGAGAGGCCGGCGAGGAGCGTAGAAACACGTTGGAAAGTAAGTTCGGATTGGCCTTAGTCGTCAGAAAATGATTTCACGTCGGCGTATCAAAGGTGAGCTGGAAAGATGAGATCGTTTGTCCCCTTTTAGTCCGCGAGCCGTAAGCGTCAGCTCGGAATTAGGATAATCGTCCGCGTGTGTTCCGTACGGATTTACCTGGACGTCTATATGCGCGCATCCGTGTGCACGGTCGGAGGGGGGGGGGCGGACAGGGGAGGTGGCGCAGTCAGAGGGGAGGATATTGTGACCCTTACGAACTAATCCGGATTAAATTCGAATCCCTGGCTATGTGGCTAGGCGACCTGCGAACATCCACCATGGCGTCTTGCGCCATACGATCGGACTCGTTACGCCATTTAACCCTACGCGATACTCCCTCCCCAAGATAGCGCCTTTTGTGGCGAGCTGCCTTTGAATTCCCCACCGTTTTCGTTCTCTCTCTCTCTCTCTCTCCCTCTCGTCAGAGCGGGCAGAATGTGAGAGTTTCCGCGGCACAAAAGTCTCGATTTAGCCGCGCCGCAGCTCCAAACCACCCAGCACAATACTGGGTCAAAAGGCGTGCTCAAGAATTTGCGTAAGAATTTACAATACAATTCGACGCGTCGATGAACGTCGGGGAGGAAAACGCAGTCTCGGCAAGTCTCGAGGCGAACGAATATTTCCGTTCAACCAACAGGATTGTTTGTGTGTGCGTGTGATTTCTCAAGTTGAATTAAACGTCTCTAAGTGAAGTGACACGTCTCTTTTATATTTTCATCCAGACGTTGCGATGCTTGTCGCAAGTGAGAAAAATATTCGAAAAAGTCAGGTATTAGGAAAATATTGAGAGACTCCTTTGTTTCAATTTGGGACGGTATTTGTCTCTCATTGAAAACTAAATATCATTTCCTCCGAGTGATACTGTTTGTTTGTTCTTTTTTTCAAACCAAATGATTTACATTAATCGAAAGAAACATACATTTTCATCGGAACAAAATGAATATTTGACTCGTTATTAAATCGTGCTGTTCGTATTTAACGAACAGCAATTACGTTGTTTATATTAAGCGGACGCAAGTCAAACAAATGCGTACACCGTGTCCAGAGAAACCTTCTCCTCACGGATGGCGAGGTAAGAGAGAGGGAAAAATACGAAGGATGCTTCGTATTTATAGCGCGCGTTGCGGATTTATTAATCATGTAAAACCACAAGCGGGACGATTAATCGAT